GAGAAATAAGGGCATTACATAATGATCAAGGAAACAATCCAACAAGAGGACAAAACACTTGTGAATATCTAAGCACCCAACATGGGAGCACCTAAATATATAAAGCAATTATTAACAGACATAAAAGGACAAATAGACAGCAACACAATAATAGTAGGGAAATTTAACACTCCGCTTACACGAGTGGATAGAATATCCAAACAGAAGATCAATAAGGAAACATTGGCCATAAGTGACATATTAGACCAGATGGATTTAATAGAGGTACACAGATCATTCCATCCAAAAACCACAGAATATGTATTCTTTTCAAATGCACATGGAACGGTCTTCAGGATAGAGCACATATTAGGTGACAAAATAAGTCTTAATAAAATTAAGAAGATTGAAATAATACAAAGCATCTTTTCTGACCACAAGTGTGTGAAACTAGAAATCAACTATAGGAAGGAAATCAGAAAAGCCACAAATATGTGGAGATTAAAAAAAAAGATACTGAACTACAATTGGGTCAATGAAGAAATCAAAGGTTAAATGAAAACATATCTGGAGACAAATGAAAATGAAAATACTACATGCCAAAATTCATGGGATACAACAAAAGCAGTTCTAAGAGGGAAGTTTATAGCAATACAGGCCACCCTCAAGAAACAAGAACAATCTCAAATAAACAATCTAACAGAGCACCGAAAGGAACTGGGAAAAGAAGAACAAACAGAGCACAAATTCAGTAGAAGGAAGGAAATAACACATATCAGAGCAGAAATAAATGAAATAGAGAATTACAAAAACAATAGAAAAAAGTCAGTGAAAGAGCTGGTTCTTTGACAAGATAAACAAAATTCACATGCCTTTCGTTAGATTCATCAAGAAAAAAAGAGAGGAGACTCAAATAAATAAAATCTGAAATGAAAGAAGAGAAACTACAATGGGTACCTCAGAAATACAAAAGATTATAAAAGAATACTATAAAAAGCTATATACTAACTAGATAATCTCGAAGAAATGAATAAATTCTTAGAATCATACAACCTTCTAAAAGCGAATCAAGAAGAAATAGAGAATTTGAATAGACCGATCACCAGTAAGGAGACCGAAACAGTAATCAAAAATCTCCGAAAAAATAAAAGCCTAGGACCATAAGCCTTCCCTGGTGAATTCTACCAAACATTCAAAGAAGAATTAGCCATCCTTCTCAAACTCTTCCAAAAAATGTAAGGGGAGGAGAAGCTTCCTATCTCCTTCCACAAATCCAACATTACCCTGATACCAAAACAATACTAGGATAACACAAAAAAAAAGAAAATTACAGGCCAATATCACTGATGAACATCAATGCAAAAGATCTCAACAAAATAATAGCAAATCGAACACAACAATACATTAAAAAGATCATACACCATGGTCAAGTGGGGTTTGTTCCAAGGATGCAGGGATGGTTAAAAATCCACAACTCAATCAAGGTGATGCACCACACTAAGAAAATGAAGAATAAAAATCACATAATCATCTCAATAGATGTAGAGAAAGCATTTGACAAGATACATCATCCATTTATGATAAAAACTCAGAACAAAATGAGTATAGAAGGAAAATACCTCAACATAATAAAGGCCATATATGAAAAAGCCACTGCTAATATCATTCTCAATGGAGAAAAACTGAAAGGCATCCCTCTACAAACAGGAATCAGACAAAGGTGCCCACTTTCACCAGTATTATTTAATATAGTATTGGAAGTCCTAGCCAGAGGAATCAGGCAAGAAAAAGAAATAAAAGAGACCCAAATTCCAAAGGAAGAAGTGAAACTGTCACTATTTGCAGATGACATGATTTTATATATAGAAAACTCTACCAAACCCACCAAAAATCTTTTAGAAATACTAAATGGATAAAGTAAATTCACAGGATACAAAATCAATATAGAAAAATCAGTTGCAATTTTATATACTAACAACAAAGTAGCAGAGAAAGAAATTAAGAATACAATCCCATTTACAATTGCAACAAAAAGAATAAAATACCTAGGAATAAAGTTAACCAAAGAGGTGAAAGATCTATACACTGAAAACTATAAAACATTGTTGAAAGAAATTGAAGAAGACACAAAGAAATGGAAAGATACTCTGTGCTCTTGACTGGAAGAATTAACATATTTAAAATATCCATACTTCCTAAAGCAATCTACATATTAAATGCAATCACTATCAAAGTTCCAACAATATTTTTCACAGAAATATAATAAAGAATCCTAAAATTTATATGGAACAACAAAAGACCCCGAATAGCTAAAGGAATCCTGAGAAAAAAGAACAAAGCTGGAGGTATCACACTCCCTGATTTAAAAATATATTACAAAGCTATAGTAATCAAAACAGCATGGAACTGGCACACAACCAGACACACAGATCAAGGGAATAGAATCAAGATTCCAGAAATAAACTCACACATATATGGACAGCTAATTTTTGACAAGGGAGCCAAAAACACACAATGGAGAAAGGAAAGTCTCTTCAACAAATGGTGTTCAGAAAACTGTACAGCCACATGCAAAAGAATGAAAGTAGACCATTATCTTACACCATATACAAAAATTAACTCAAAGTGGATTAAAGACTTGAATGTAAGACCTGAAAACATGAAACTTCTAGAAGAAAACATAGGCAGTATGCTCTTTGACATCAGTCTTAGCAGCATATTTTCAAGTATCCTGTCTGACCAGGCAAGGAAAACAATTGAAAAAATAAACAAATCAGGCTACATCAAACTAAAAACTATCTGCAAAGCAAAGAAAACCATCAACAAAGTGAAAAGACAACCTAACAATTGGGAGAAGATATTTGCAAACCATATATCTGATAAGGGGTTAATCTCCAAAATATATAAAGAACCCATGCATCTCAACAACAAAAAAACTAACAACCCAATTAAAAAATGGGCAAAAGACCTGAACAGACATTTCTCCAAAGAAGATATACAGATGGCCAACAGGCACATGAAAAGATGTTCAACATCATTAACTATCAGGGAAATGCAAATCAAAACTACAATGTGATATTACCTCACTCCCGTCAGAATAGCAATAATTAACAAGACAGGTAATAACGAGTGTTGGAGGGGATGTGGAGAAAAGGTTACTCTCATATACTGTTGGTGGGAGTTCAAGCTGGTGCAGCCACTATGGAAAACAGTATGGAGATCCCTCAAAAAAATTAAGAATAGAATTACCATAATGATCTAGCTGTTCCACTGCTGGGTATTTATCCAAAGAACAGGAAAACAAGGGAATGTGTAAAGGTCTATGCACCACCATGTTCATTGCAGCATTATTCACAATAGCCAAGACTTGTAAACAACCTAAGTGCCCATCAACTGAAGAATGGATGAAGAAGTTGTGATATATGTATATATATATATACACACACACACACACTCACATAAGGGAATACTACTCAGCCATATAACAGGTGAAATCTTGCCATTTGAGACAACATGGATGGACCTTGATGGTATTATGCTAAGCAAAATAAGTCAGAAAGATAAATACTGTATGATTTCACTCATATGTGGAGGATTAAAAAATCAACAACAAACATATAAATACAGAGAACAGACTGGTGGTTATCAGAGGGGAGGGGAGGTGGTGGGAGGATTAAAAGGTAAATGGGGACATTTGTATGAAAGATGGAAACTAGTCTTAGTGCTAAACACAATGTAGTGTATGCAGAAGTCAAAATAAAATGATATATACACCTGAAACTTTTATAATGTTATAAATCAATGTTACCTCAATAAAAAAATATTAAATCATCAGCCTGAGGGACTGGGGCCTGTTGGGATACTCTCTGGGGACAGAGGCACTGATGGGTACCATTTGTGTGCTTTCCATCTGCCTTGCTAAATACTGCAGGCACCATCTATATTTTTTAACTCTATACCTTTTTTTGTTTTCCCCCTTGGTGGGTGCCACCTTCACACTCTCTCTGCCATGTTCCACAGCACCAGTATCTCCTAGAGGGGATTTTTTACACACATCTGATGCCCCTATTTTTATGACTGGTGCCTTGGTATTTGCAACTGCCACCCAAAGGATACCCCTCTAATGCCTGTCTCTAGTGTCTAAGAGAGCATGTGTTCCTGGGTCCCACAGTACTGTAATAGTCAGCGAGACAGTTTTTGACAGGCTACCATCCCCAGAGCACTGCACAGATATCAGACTGAAACACATCCCCAGTCTTTCTGTAGAAGAGGCCTATTTTCTTGTCCTAGAGCTTTGGCCGGGGGACAGGGGGCAGGATTCAGGTTTGACATACATATAGAGGCCTATGAAGGTGCTCTCAGGGAATGTAGGCTGGGGGACACCATCTATTTGCTTTCCCTTTGCCTTACAAGAGATCACTGATATTTACCAGAAAGGAGCTTATACACTTATTTCAAGCCCTAGTTTTGAAACTGTTACCTAAGGAACACCTCCAGGTCACTTGGTCTAGTAGACAGCAGGGCTTCCACTTGTGGTCCCACAGGACTGGGTATATTTGCATACTTTAAAAGCTGCTTCCTGAGGGTTTAGCTTCCAATCAGCCTGAATTCCAGTGCTAACTGAGATCCCCTACTTTGGGAGACTGAGAGGTCTTGGCACACCCTAAGCAACTGAGAGCTATTAAAAATAAAATAGGCTATTTAAAAAATCATGGAAGTTTGAGAGACAACCCATAGCTAGGGCAAGGTTGAATAATAAGTTTCATCTTCCTCATGAAGCCACCCTTTCAAGATTGGAAGAGGTAGCTGTTTCATCTAATGCATAGAAATAAACACAGAGAGTAAAGCAAAATGAAGACACAATGAAATATGTTTCAAATAAGAAAACAAGATAAAACCTAAGAAAAATAACTTATTGAGACAAGGATAAGTAATTTACCTGATAAAGATTTCAAAGTAACGGCCATAAAGATGCTCACCAAACTTGGGATAAGAGTGGGAGAACACAGAGAAAACTGGAAGAAATAGATAGAAAGTATGAAAAAGTACCAAACAGAAGTCACAGAGCTATAGAAGAAAATAACTAACCTGAAAAATACACTAGCGTGTTCAACAGGAGACTAGATGAAACAGAAGAAAGCATCAGTGAACTCAAAGGCAGGGCAGTGGAACTCAAGCAGAGCAGCAAAAGGTAAAAAAGAGTGAAGATAGTCTAAGGGACTTATGGGACAACATCAAGCAAACAAACATTTGCATTATAGGGGTCACAGAAGGAGAAGAGAAAGGGACAGAAAATTTATTTGAAGAAATAATGCCTGAAAACTTCCCTAACTTGGGAAAGAAAACAAACATCCAGATCCAGGAAGCCCAGGAAGTTCCAAATAAGATGAACCCAAAGAGATCCACACCAAGATACATTATAATAAAAATGTTAAAAGTTAAATACAAAGAGAGGATCTTAAAAGCAGCAAGAGAAAAACAACTTGTTACATACAAGGGAAATCCCACAAAACGATCAGCAGATTTTTTGGCAGAAATTTTGCAGGCTAGAATGGAGTGGAAGATATATTCAAAATATGAAAGAAAAAACTTCCAACCAAGAACACTTTGCCTAACAAATTTATTCAGAATTGAAGAAAAGATAAAAATTTTTCAGACAAGCAAAAGCTAAAGGAGTTCATCATCACTAAATTGGCCTTACAAGGAAAGTTAAAGGGGCTTCTTCAAGCTGAAAAGAAAGGGCACTAATTAGTAACAAGAAAACATGAATGTATAAATCTCTCTGGTGGTAAATTTAGTGCATTGATCACTTATAAAACTAGTATGAAAGTTAAAAGACAAAAGTAGTAAAAATAACTATAACTATAATAGTTAAGGGATACACAAGATAAAAAGATGTAAAATTTGGTATCAAAACATAAAATGTGGTGGAGGAAACTAAAAATGTAGAGTTTTAGAATGTGCTCAAACTTAAGTTGGTATTAACTTAAAATAGACTATTATAAATATAAGTTGTTATATGTAAGCCTCATGGTAACCACAAAGCAAAATCTAGAATAGATACAAAAAAGATCATGATAAAGGAATCCAAGCATACCACTAAAGAAAGCTACCAAACCACAAAGGAAGAGAACAAAAGAAGAAGAAAGGAACACGGCAACTACAAAACAGCCAGGAAACAATTAACAAAATTGCAAAAACTGCATACTTATCAATAACTAAATGTAAATAGACTAAATTCTCCAAAGGAAAGACACAGAGTGTCTGAATGGATGACAAAACATGACAAATCGATGTGCTGCCTACAAGAGACTCACTTCAGATGTGAGGACATCCACAGACTTGGAGAGAAGGTATGGAAAAAGATGTTCCATGCAAATGGAAATCCAAAGATATCTGAGGTAGCTATACTTATATCAGACAAAATAGACTTTAAAACAAAGACTGTAATAAAAGTCAGGAAAGGTAGTACATAACGATAAAGGGGTCAATCCAACAAGAGGACATAACATTTTTAAATATGTAAGCACCCAATATAAGGGCACCTAAACATATAAAGCATATATAAACAGACCTAAAGGGAGAAATAGCAATACAATAATCTTCTGCAAGCAGTAACATGGAGGTCTAATGTACTTTGAACTCCTGCCCATCTAGCAGACAGGAGGAAGCTTTTGTAGGCCTCAAGAGTCAAGGCTCCATCCACAAAGAGGATGGAAGAGGTTTCTTTATCATGGAATTTCACAGGATGTTTAATTTGTATTTATGATATCTCAAGATTGGTAGGCTACTTTAATACCCAACTTACATTAATGGACAGATCATCCAGAAAGAAAATCAATAAGAAAACATTGGCCATAAAAAACACGTTAGACCAGAAGTTCACAGATATATACAGAACATTCCATCTGAAAGCAACAGAATACATTCTTCTCAAATGCACATAGAATACTCTCCAAAATATATCATATGTTAGGCCAAAAAACAAGTCTTAATAAACTTAAGAAGATTTAAATGACATCAAGCATCTTTTCTTACCACAATGATATGAAACTAGAAATCAATTACAAAAGGAAAAGTGGAAAATTCACAAATATGTGGAGATTAAACAACATGCTACTGAACAACCAATGGTTAACAAAGAAATCAAAAAAGTAATCAAAATAGAAATAAAAAAATACCTTGACATAAATGAAAATGGAAATACAACATACCAAAATTACGGGATGCAACAAAAACAGTTCTAAGAAGGAAGTTCATAGCAATAAATTCCTGCCTCAAGAGACAAAAGAAAAATCTCAAAAAAAACAACCTAAATTTATACTTAAGGAACAAGAAATAAAAGAACAAATGAATCCCCAAACTAGTAGAAGGAAGCAAACAACAAAGATCAGAGCAGAAATAAATGAAATAGAAACTAAAATGACAATAGAAAATATCAATGAATGTGACAGTTGGTTCTTTGAAAATTTAAACAAAATGGGCAAACCTTTAGCTAGGCTCACCAAGAAAAAGAAAGAGGGCTTGAATAAATAAAATAAAAAATGAAGGAGGAGGAAGTCAAGATGGCAGTGTAAGCAGACTCTGAACTCACCTCCTCCTGCGGACACAGCCAATTTACAACTACTCATGGAAAAATTACCTCTGAGAGAGAACTGAAAACTGGACAAGAGGAACTCCTGCAACAAAGGACAATCCTAATTGATGTGGAAGAGGCAGAAACTCCCTTCTGGAGAGAAAAAGCGCTGACCTTACAAGCCGCAGCACTTCACGGCAGCCCAGGAGCAACCCAAAGCCCTGTAGGCATTTTGTGGACAGAGCACAGTCGAGACAAGTGGCATAATATCCGACTTTGCTTGCTACTATAACATTGGGGAGTACCCCCAGAAAAGCTGGTTCACAAAGAAATTAAAACTGGCTCTTAAAGGGCTCACGCACAAACTCACCCATTTCAGAAAGCAACTTAAAATCACCAGAAAGAAAGGTGCACAGTGCTTTGGTGAAAAGAGACTCAACTTATAGTCCCTGAGTGCATTGCAGTGAGAAGTGAGACCTCTCCAGGGACTGGGACATTGGTGGCGACCATAGTTGTGGCCTGGTGTGGGCATGATCACACAGACACCACTGGAGTTCTCCCTGGGGCATGCTAGCACAAGATCTGCCCCACTAACTAGAGCACCAATTGAATCCAGCTCAGCCAGGGCAGGCAGGCAGCCCACCCTAGGGACTGGCACCACCCAACAACAAGCCCTCAGGAAACTGGTGGTCCTGCATAGATTGGTGACTGGATTATCTGAAGCCTAGCAACTGAGCCCACTTCAGAGGGGCAGGGCATGCACAAGGAGCGGGTGGAGATTGTGGGGTGTTGGGGGAGTGTGTGGGGCTTGTGCCATGGAGAGACTGTGTCCACTTCAGGAGGTCAGGGTGTGCACACGGGGAAGGACTGTGTTGACTGTGTGTGTGAACCTGTGGTTGGCGAGGCTTGTCAGCTGCAGAAGAATTGTGCTTCTCAAAGGCCCCACTCTCCAAAGCCTGAAGCAATTAGGTGCCCTGTGCATGAGGCCAGCCTCACCCAGCTGCAAACCTCAGAGAGCTGACAAGAGATCTAAAGCCTGGAGGCTTATAGCAATTGTAAGCCCCTGAGCCTAACAACCTGTCACTCTGGGGGCCAAATCATTTAAAAGAAATACTGATACACAAATGTGGTATTAGAACTTGCAGTCAACTGTGCTGGGGCTTCCCACACCTGATAAAGAGACTGAAAGGCCCACTACAACTAAAAGCAGCTGAGCATTACTGTTGGCCTCCCTGGGCGCCTACAGGGAGAGAAAACACGCCACAACAGAAGGACACAAGTAGCCGACATAGGGGTCACTCCTGGAACATTGAGAACTGAGAGAAGCACACTGCAGGTCTCCTAAGGCATCACTTATATAAGCTCACCTATCCAAGAGCAGGAGATGTAGCTGACCTACCTAATACACAGACACAAGCAGAGGGAAAGAGACAAAATGAGAAGACAAAGGAATACATTCCAAGTAAGGGAACAGGACAAAACCCCAGAAAAGGAACTAAGTGAAACAGAAATGAGCAACCTACCTGAAAGAGTTCAAACAAAGAGTGTTAAGGATGCCCACTGATGGGGGGAGAAGAATAGATGAACTCAGTGAGACTGTCAACAAAGAACTGGAAGATATAGAAAAGAACAAATCAGAAATGAAGAATACAATACTGGAAATGAAAAATTAACTAGAGGGACTCAAAAGCGGAGTAGAGGATACAGAAGATTGGATCTGCGAGCTGGACGAAAGACTAGAAGAAATTACCCAAGCTGAACAGGTAAAAGAAAAAGGAATTAAAAAGTGTGAAGACAGTCTAAGGGACCTCTGGGACAACATCAAGCGCACTAACATCTGTGTTATAGGTGTCCCAGAAGGAGAAGAGAGAGACAAACGGGCAGAGAATCTATTTGATTAAATAATAGATAAAAACTTCCCTAACCTAAAGAAGGAAGCAGACATCAAGGTACAGGAAACACAGAGAGCACCAAACAAGATAAACCCAAAGAGGCCCACACCAAGACACATCATAATCAGGATGTCCAGAATTAAAGATAAAGAGAGAATCCTAAAAGCTGCAAGAGAAAGTCAAGTTACATACAAGGAAACCCCATAAGGCTATCAGCTGACTTTTCAGCAGAAACCTTACAGGCTAAAAGAGAGTGGCATGATATATTTAAAGTGCTAAAAGGAAAAAACTTACAGCCAAGAATACTCTACCTGGCAAGGTTACCATTCAAAATGGAAGGAGAGATAATAAGTTTCCCAGACAAGCAAAAATTAAAGAAGTTTGTCACCAAGAAACCAGTGCTGCAAGAAATGTTAAAGGGAATGATTTAAGGGGAAAAGAAAAGACCACAAATAGGAAAAATTATCTATTTTCATGATAAGAGGGTAATGGATACAAATGCACAAAAAAGAGGTTAGAGATGATATCAAAAAACATAAAATGAGGGAGGAAGGGAGTTAAAGAGTAGAGCTTTCAGACAGAGGACAAACTAAAAAGAC